GAGGAAGAACAGGAGGAGGAGGAGGAGAAGAAGGAGGTGGAGAGAGCCGGTGGGAGGCGTTGGGCTGGCTGGGAGCGGGGCAGGCTTTGGCGAGCTGTTGGATGGTGCCCTGGGAAGGACGATGGAGGAGGGCAGAGCCACGGTCCTGTGTCAGGTGCACACAGGGGAGGACAGCGACTGCTGCCCAGCGAGGACAGAAATCCCCTCACCAGTTATGTGGCTGCTTCCTTGGGCAGCTCCCCATGCTGGGGACCTGCTAACTCTCAGCCTTGCAGAACCAGCAGCATTTTCTGACCGTCCCAGCTCTTTTCCAGCTTAGAGATGACTCCAGAGAGCCCTGCCAGGGGAGGCCAGCCTGGAACCCACCATGTGGAGCAGCAGGTCCCTGAGCTGGGTGCTTGCCTATTCTATATTCTGTATTCTATATTCTATATTCCATATTCTATATTCTATATTCTATATTCTATATTCCATATTCCATATTCCATATTCCATATTCTGTATTCTGACCGAAGCTGGTTCTTTCCAAGATTATGCCCTGACAATCAATGTCACTTTGCACAGTCCATGGTGCTCCTGCACACACAGGCTGCTCTGCTGTGTGTGCAGGATGCCTTGTTGCTCTCTGCCATGCAAAACCATCCAGGCTGTGCTCCAGAGCCCACGCTCCTCCACCCGGGCCATGAGCCTGAGGAGCACAAAGCTCTTGCTTCTGTCCTTGCTGTCGCTGGGAAGCTCCCCGTGGCCACCAAGTGCAGCGCGTGTGACAACTCCGAAGTGCCCAGGTGGCAGCAGATTTATTAGGGTATTATCCTCCTAGTGCTGCAAATGGTGTCATCTGTCTTCTAAACTTTGCGCTTTGTTTCAGGGGGAGAATTTAGTATATCCAGGTAATACGCTGTAGTTTTCGCATATGATAAAGCCCTGCTGGGAAGTGTAGTTTTATTGATTTTGTTATTAAAGTGCCACTGGAATAAATCTGCTCATTTGAATGAAATGTCTTATTACCTGGATTATAACAGGCACATGATGAGATCTCTGGAGAGGCTGGTCACAGGGAGCTGAGGCAGAGCACCTGATGGGGACCCACGGCTGCCACCCCGCTTTCGGTCCCCCCAGAGCCCCCAGCTCCTGCCCAACCGCCCCGAGCACCTCAGCTGGCAAACCTCAGGAGGAGAACAAACTGTGGCAGGGACACCGTGTTTCAGTCGAGGTTCGTATTGCTTCTCCGCTCCTCTGCTCAGGGGACAGCGTTGTTTTAAAGGGAACGAGGAAAAATCTCTGTTACGGGGCAGTATTTCTTTAGTACCACAAGTAATGGGGGTGGATTGGGAAATGAACCGTTCCCCATTACACCAGGACCTAACTGCACAGCCCGTGCTTTCCAGTTAAAATTTGATTGCCTCGAATCCTGAGGATTATGGAAAATAAGAAAAAGGCCTAGTAAAATTTATGGCTTTTAATCATAAAGTGATGGAATTGCAGTAAATCTATCATAAGCATGCAGATGTGGACGCAGAGGAGGGAAGCAATAGGCTCGCCTGTTCTGGGGGGGGGGAGGAGCTGCAGCACCCACAGCAGGGCTGGCTGGGGGGGAGCTGCCCCCCACCATCTCCTCCAGGGTGCTCAGCCCATTTCTCCTCCGTGTCCCGCAGGGCCCTGCTGTCCCTGACCTCATTGCAAAGGGGGGGCAGGGCTGGAGGCACGAGGGGGGTGAGGTGGGAACAGGGGGCAAGGGTAGGATGGTGGGGGGGGAAGGGGTGGAAAGGGGGAAAGCAGAAAAAGGGGCCAAAGCTGGGGGTTTTTCCTCCTCCCCTCCGTGCTGCTGGGTGGGCAGGGAGCAGGGTGGGTCCTGCTGAGGGCACGAGGAGGCAGAGGTCTGGGGCGGGGGTGCAGGGAGAAGAGAGCACCGGGCAGAGGGAAATGGCAGGAGAGTGAGACACGCACAGAAGGCAGAAGGTATTTTATTTAATAAAGAAAGAAGAAAAAAAAAAGAGCGATAAGGAATGAAAGAGGAGAGAGTAAAGAACTGCCTCTGAAGAAGAGATAAGAGAGGAGGGTAGTTAGTGGGAGAAGGAGCAAAAAGAAGTGTGATAAGGCCTGATGGAAAGGGAAAGGCAGCAAGCAGCGGCGAGGAAGCCGGGGAGGCAAAGGGCTCGTGCCTGGGGCTGGGTGATGATGGCGAGAGCCTGGGGAGCATCCGCAGCTCTGGGGAGAGCTGGGCACTGATCCTGGTGGGGAGGGAAGTGCCAGGGGCCGGGTGCTGCCCTCAGGGTGGGACGTGGCTGTCCCCTTGTCCCCAGCCCGGCTGCATCCCAACACGGTGCCCATCGTGGGGCTCCCGGTGTTGGGAGCAGAGGGGGGAAGGCACCTTCCACAAGCTACCTCCCCTCCATGCCCTAAACACATCTCCTCCTGATTCTTTTCAAGCTGTTTCGTAAAGCACTTTGTATTTCTCCTTTTTAAAATTAAAAAAAAAAAAAAAAGAAAAAAGAGTGAAAAATGCTGCCTGGCTCCAACACACAGCCCATGGTTACCTGAAGAGCTGTGGTGGAAGTCAGCCCCTGCTCTCTCATCCCTGATCAAACTGCAACAGAAACACTGTGAATTTCAGCACGGAGGAGAAAGAGAGTTGGTTTGTTTTTTTTTTTAATAGCCATGAAAATTGCTGAGCTGAGATGCTGGCCACTCTAAGATGCTTTTCTTCTGCTCCATCCATCTGCTTTAATCACATGGTGAATGAAAAAAAAAATAAAAAAATAAAATATCCAGTTCACAAAGCATCGAAGATTAAAAAAAAAACACGACTGCAGGTAACAAACTGTGTGCAGGTGGCAGAGCCGTGGAGCAGCGGGCGAACTCGCTAATGAGGGCCTTTGAGGTGTAGCTCGGGTGGCTTCACAGGGCAGGGAGCAGGGACGGAGGGGCTGGGGGTGCAGGAGGGCCCTGGGGCTTTGCAGGGATGTGCAGAGGGCAGCCCTGCCTTGGGAGCCCCCCGTGTGATGTGTGGAGTGGGCACGGGCTGGGGGCTCGTGGCAGTGGCTTGCATGGGGGAAGGAAGGCTTGTGGGGGGTGTGCTGGTGTTCGGGGTCTGGGAAGGGGCTGAGGGCTGAGAGAAATGGTGTGATAGCACAGCCAAGCCCTTCTGCACAAAGAAAGGATTTTTCTCTCTTTTTTAAAGCTTCTTTTTAACAGCAAAAGACTTGGTTCCTCCCTTTGCTTGCTGGGATGCTGCTGCATGCTGCAAATACCTTGTTGGACTTGGATATTAGAGTGTGTTTTTTTTTTTTTTAATCTGTGTGTGTTGAATTAGCTCTTTTAATTACAGCATTAAAAAAGGATAACTGGAGTCAATTAAAAAGCTCTTCCAGGCTGCCAGTGTTAATAGCTGTCCAGGAACACCGAGACCCCCCTCCACCTCTCCGCCGAACCGCTGGGTGAGTTATTGGCAGTCCTGGCAGCAGAGCTCAAGCTGCGATTTCTGCACCTCGACTGAGGCTGGGCACGGCTTGCTGGGCTTGGCATCGTCCTCTGCAGGGCTGAGGCTTTGCCACAGCCTGGCCCCGCGTCCCCTCCTCTCCTAGGACAGCGCCTCTCCCAAACCGTGCTCGGGGGCCATCGAATGGGATCTGCGCCTCGGACGGGGCCGGGAGCACCTGCCTGCAGCTTGTGAGTTGTTATTTGTGGTTTCGTGTCGAGCTCGTTGAAAATGATGGTTAAACACAGGTAGGGGGGAGGCTGGCGAGGAGGCTTTTCCTTTGGTTCTTTTTAAAAGCAAAGCAAAAGGCTTCAAAAAGGGTTCGGCTTCAAACTGCAAAGGAAGGATGGGTTGGAGAGGAGGAACTCAGGAATCAAGCATCTGAAACCTGCTGTGGGGAAAGCAATGCAAAATGTTTTGTTTCAAGGTGAATGGAAAGCTGAACCCAGCAGAAAATCCCCCCTCCCCATGAGCACAGCTGTTTCGGGCTGGTTTTTCTAGATTAGCACATTGCTGGAAGAAAAGAAAATCCATTCTTTTCTCTGTCGGCGCTCCAGGTTGCTGTCGCTTATTTTTTATCACGTTGTAGTGACTTTGATCTCTGAAGACTCCTTAAGTGCTTTACAAATCAAGCATGCAAATCTGGGCTCATCCACCTCTGAGATGCTGCCGCGGCCGGGGCATCCTGCCGGCGTGGTGCCACGCTTCTGAAAACCTCCAGCACCCCGTGCACCTGCATTACGGGGACATTTTGTGCTTCCAGCACGGCCAGGAGCTGGTGCGAAGGCCACGGGGCTGTGCTGGGGTCCCTGAGTGGTGCCAGCCCTGCTCCTCCCATGCAACGGAGGTGGCTTTCACCCCACTGTGCACCCAAACGTCTGGGAAATTGCCACAAACCGACCAGGAGCAGCTGAGCTGGTTTGATGAAACGGGCTTTATTTTCAAAGCTTGACTTGAAACACCTCTTTCCCCATCATACTCTCTCTGCATCGCTCTCTCCCCGTGTGTTTGCCCTCCTGACTGGCAATGCCACCAGGGACCCCCCCCCTTTTTCTTTTCCAGGCAATGCAGATCTGCCAACACCGAGCACCAAAGGAGGTCGCTCCCAGGACCAGCCACCGTGCTGATGGGCACCCTGGGGCATGACGGGGGCAGGCAGCATGACGGCAGCCCGTACCCCCCCCCCGCTGCAGCCCCGGGCCCCTTCTCCTCTGCCTTGGGCAGCGCGGATGTGCGTTTATATATGCATGGAATGAAGCTAAATTCCCTCTAGGGAGTACCGAGGGGGCCAGGGCACTGCCTGCTTGTGCTGCAAGGTTTGAGGGCTGAGCTCACCACAGAGGTGGGCGTTTGGGGAATCGGCTGGAAAAATACAGCTAGTCCTCAGGAAAAGTCCTCATCTCGTAGCGAGATGGCTGGGAAGTACCTCCGAGGCGAGAGCGTCAGAGGGCAGGAACGGAGAACTCGCCAGTGATACAGAGCTGGACAGATCAAGAAGTCAAGATTTTGCATTCCAACTATCTATAGGAAATAGGGTTTTTTTATTATTTCAAGTTTTCATAAAAATCCATAATTATTGAAATCAAAGTTACAGAAGAAAGTTTGTAACTTTTTATTGATTTTATTTCTTTTTTTTTTTTCTTTCTTTCCCCCCCTGTTGTTTTTCCCTCTTGGAGTTATATCTGACACCAGAGTCCATCAGACAAAGTCTTTACAAACACAGGAGTCCTGAAGATATCGGCTGAATGTTTTCCTGGTATAAAGAAGAAGAGGAGGAGAAAGAGGTGGTGACAGTGCGGGTGCAGTGGGTTTGGACTGGGACAGAGGACGTTGTGAAGGAGAGAGGTCGGTATGTTTGTACCAATGTTTTTTTTAATTATTTTTTATTTGTCCATAGGTTCTTTTTTTTTAAAAAAAAAAATTATTTGCAAATTGTTGCCTGGTTAAATCATTTTCATATTGAACTTGCGCGGTGCATCAGCAGAGCTGATGCCCGCGTCAGACTTGCGTGGCACGTACTCGATTTCAATGTTGTGCTTGGTGTTGCCTTTTCCCCGGCTCCACAAGAAGAGGAGCACCAGACAGAAGAGCACGACGCCCAGGAAAGAAATGAAGCCCATGGTGGTGGCGATGATGAGAGTCTTGATGTCAAAGGGGAAAGGCACGGTGGCACGTGTGCTGTTGGCATCGCTCTCGTTGGGCTGGTTGGAGATGAACGCGAAGGTCTTGTTGGGTTGGTGGGGCCAGTCTGGGGAGTAGCTGCGCACGTGCAGGTGGGCCAGCATGGTGTCGTTGCCACCCGCGTTGCTGGCGATGCATAGGTAGGTGCCGTTGTCCTGGATCTGGGCGTAGCGCACCTCCAGCGTGCCATCAGGGAAGACAGTGAGCCGCCCGTTGGTTTTGGTGGAGATGAGGTGCTTGCGGGGGGAGAGCCACATGATGGTGGGCGGTGGGTCCCCATCCGCCCGACAGACGAAATGCACCGTGTGGCCTTCGTCCACGAAGATCTGCTGAGGTTTACGGTCTCGTATCCGGGCTCGGCGGCAGGTGAAGTAGTTGGGCAGGAGGACGTCGGGGAAGTCTTTGAACTCCTTGCCCTGGACGAACTCGGGGGTCGCGCAGGTGGGCTGCTGCTTGTTGAAGTTCAGCCTCCATCGCCGTCGGAAAACCCACAGCAGCCGGCAGTCGCAGGCCAAGGGGTTGTTGTCGAGGATGAGGGTCTCCAGGTTGCCCACCGAGTGGAAGGCCGACTCCTCCAGCGTGGTCAGCAAGTTCCCCGACACGTTCAGGATGCGCAGGTGGTTGAGGCCGCGGAAGGCAAAGGGCTCGACCATGGTGAGCTGCCCTCCCACCAGCTGGATCTCCTGCAGCCTCAGCAGGTCGTGGAGCATGGAGCCCTCGATGGTGACGATGGGGTTGTAGGAGAGGTTCAGGAAGCGGAGGTAAACCAAGTGCCTCACCGACACGTAGGGGATGGACGTCAGGTTGCAGTGGGTGATGGACAAGGAGGTCAAGTTCAACCCATAGAGGCAGTTGGACGTCATGGTGTCCAGGTAGGGCCAGTGGGAGATCTCGAGCACCTTAAGCCGGTACAGCCTCTTGAAGGAGTAATCCCGGATGGCGTTGATGTTCAGGTGGCGCAGCCGCAGCACAATCAAGCCGTGCAGGTGAGACAGGGCCTCTGTGGGGATGGAGGTCAGGTTGCATTTCTCCAGGGTCAGCTGCTCCAGGCTGTTGAGGCCGCTGAAGGCCCGGTGGGAGATGTAGACAAGGTCGTTGTCCCCCACCTCCAAAGACTTCAGGTTGTACAAGTCCTGGAACATGTAGTCCAGGAGGATGACAATTTTGTTCTCACTAATGTCTAGCTTGGTAAGGTTGCTGAGTCCAGTAAATACCCCCAAGGGGATCAGCTTGAGTCTGTTACTCCTGAGCCCCAGCGTCCTGAGGTTGAAGAGGTTGTTGAAAGCCCCAGGTTCAATGGCACTGATAATGTTCTCGTTGAGCTCCAGCTCCTCCAGGTGAGGGTAGTTGGCAAATTCATCCTGGTTGAGGGTCTTGATGCGGTTCTTGCCCAAGTCCAGCAGCCTGGTCTCGGTTGGGATCCCCTCGGGGACGACCATGAATCGCTTCCTGTGGCACAGGACAGCACGCTCCTGGGCAGAGCACTCGCAGCGCGGCGGGCAGCCTGTGGCAGAACCGGACAGGATGGATCCCAGCATCAGGAGGAGAATTGGCTGCCAGCAGGCCAGGATTGGGCTGCGCATACTCGCCTCCCCAGCTACCATCCTATCGCTCACCTGCAGGCAACGGGAGAGAGAGAGCAAAGCTGGATGTGAGCGATCGGTCAGCGGAAGCACGGCAAAAGGCGCTAGAGCCAACATCACCTGGCGAGAGCAGAGCTCGGGGGGCACATCTGATACACCAGATCCACAGACGTGCGGTGAGATGGGGCGAGAGGCCTGCGGGGGGGCGGAACTGCAGGGTGGGCAGTGGGCCCTCCCCCGCTTCCACTTCAGAAATAAAAATGAACCAAAAAAGCCACCCAAAGCCTAACGTGCCATAGTGAGCCAAGGGGGGGTGTGACCGTGTGCAGGACTCGTGCACGCTGTCAGCATGTGTACAAAAAGGGGACCTCAGGTCACAGTACGTGGGCACGGGAAACGCGCCCCTAATACGGGGCCGTCTTGCACCACACCTCGGGGTCCTGGGCACGCTTTGTGCACCCCTATACAAGGGGCCGCTGTGTGCCACACCCCTGGACTCCAGCACTTTTCTCCCTCAAAGAAATCAGTGTTTCTTTGCAAGGAGCCAGGAGCAAAGATGTTGGAAAGGCCATCAAGGTTTCCGCGCATGTGGCGCTGGAACCCGCCAGCCCTTGGCACACCAGGCGGCCACAGAGCTGAGTATGGGATGCAGAGGGGCTGCTGTGACCATCGCGGTGCCTCCTGGCCTGGGGCTGGGGCTGGGACACGCTGGGGACAAGTGCTGGGCGAGGTGGCAGCACTGCTGGCACTGAGCAAAGGGCTCCTGCCAGGGGTCCCCCCGGGCAGTGCGGTGCTGGCGGCTCCGCTTCGTGCCCGCAGCCCGCCCTGGCTGCTGCGTCTCCAAAACCAATTCCCGCTGCTCGCAGGCGTGCTGAGAAAGCCATCAAAGAAAGCAAAACAACTGCTTGCAAAACAAAACACAGGCCACGGGGCTTAATTACACACAGGCTGCAAAGACTTGAGCTCATCGGGCTGGCAGCCGGCCCTATCTGGGCACGCTTTGCTGAAATCTCTCCTCTGCCCTCGGGTGCAGCCACGCGTGGGGTCCTGCTGGGCACAGGGGAGCCGGGGCCCTCCTGCAGCCCCCCCGGCATGACCCCCTCCCAGATCTGCCCCAGGCCAACTTGTGCCTCCCCCCCAGGGCAGGGAAGAGGGCGCAGTGCACGTAAATCAGCGGGGCTGCTTGGCCACGGGGTGAATTGCACCAGCTCTGACCCTGCTCCTAAACCCCCCGCACACTGCTCTGGCTGGGGGGCACCGAATGGACGCGTTGTGCCGAGCCGAGCCCGAAGCACTGCTGGCCTGGCTGCCGCTGGGATGCCAGTGCCAGTGGATGCTGGGCAAGCAGCTGATGAATGAAGTGCAGTCGTCAGGTTGTTAACGACTAGACAACCCCACCTGCATGGAATTAAAGTCTAGACACCCTTCACATGTTAGTAGTGCTCAGCTAAATTTAAATCTGTGATGAATGCAGTTCCTGACAAAAGCAGCTGAAATCTTAATGGCCAGAGTCAGTGAGCGCTGGGGGAGAAAGACGAGGAATAAATCCTGAAAAATTCTGGGCTAAGGAGAGCTTTGAAGCCCTCCTGTATCCCCCTGGGTGTTCCAGAGGCTTCAGTGGTGGCTGGCAAGAGGCGCCCGTCAAAAACAACTGATAAATCGCTGGGTTTTGGTGGCCAGGCACACTCAGCAGCACCAGCTGGGCTCAGACCAGGGCAGGGCTGGCCCCGGCTTCCCTGAGTGGGTTCGGGCATGTTCACGAGGCCAACGCTGGGGCAAGGGCTTGGTGTCGGCAGGCAGGAGAAGCCCACGACCGCCTGCAGGGTACAGGGAGGTGGTGGAGATGGAGCCTCGGCACGGGCTTTGTGAAATGTGAAGCCTCCCACATTTGCTCTGAGGCAGACCATGAACCCTGCCTGCCCCCGGAGCTGCTGAGCCCCCTGCTCAGGGTGCCAGCCCTGGTCAGGATCAGGCCTGATGGCTGTGCTACAGAGGCCAGGACAGGCTGGGGAGAGCTGCAGCCCTCTGGCGTGGATGTGGCTCTCATTTCTCGCATAAATAAACAAATAAAAAAGAATCGATAAGAAAGGAGCAGCCGCTGGCCTCGCTGGTGTTAGGCAACAACTGGATCCGTGCAAACCAAAGGAAAATCTGCCCAGAGCCACGGCAGCGGGTGCCCACCCTCACCACCCTGTTGTCTGCAGATCAGGGCTCCAAATTCTGCACGAGGGCAGCAGTCGGGCACGCCGGGGCTGCGCTGCCTCGGTGCTACACGTGGCAGGACCCGCTGGGAGCAGCGACGCTGCCCTGGGACCCTGCCCAACCGAGGACGGTGCCGGAGGGAGCCCAGGACAGCAGCGGGGCTGCCCCTGAGGCTGTGGGGTCCCTCCTGCCCCGAGGGGCTGGCAGTGCCCTCCGCCACCCCCAGGCACCCTGCAGGGTGCCCGGTGCTCACCGCGGTGACAGCAAAAATCCCCGCGTCAGCGCTAAGCCCACCTGGCCGCCATAAATCACCGCGCGGGGACGCTCACCCTTCAACCAGATGCTTTGGAGAGCAGCGGGCGACGGGAGGTGATTGAGGACGAAACAAGGCCAAGCCCCGGGGCCCTGCGGGGCTCTGAGAGGCAGAGCTGAGCCGGGGGCCGTGCGCCCACCCTGACCGAGCCGTGGTGCTGTGGGGTGGTCCCGGCACCAGCGGGATGCTGCACGGGCACGGTACGGGCACAGGCAGCCCCCAGCTCACCCTGTCTCCGTACCACCGGCTTTCCACAAAGCCTTAGAGCCCGTGCTCGCCTCTAAGCCGCTCCAGCTAAATCAAATTTTATTGAACTTGACTACATTTTAGAGATAAAGACTCCAGGTTTACAAATAAATATTTAACAACCTTTCCTGCTGCTAAAAGAGTTGCTTATCCAGACCCCGGGCTCCGCACTAAGTGTTCCTGTAGCTATCTGCAAAGCAGCAAAACAAAGGGAGAGGCTTTAATTTGCCAAACACGTTCGTGCCTATTTCCGCCTCGCTCCATCATTCCCTCTGCGTCCAGCGTGCATTTGCAGGCCTTTTTTCTTCTCTCTCCCTCCTCCCCACCCTTCCCTCCTGCTCTTTCCCCACTCAGCACAGGTTCTGGCACCAGCTGCACCCCTCCTGGTGCCGGGAAGGCCAGGGGATGCAGGGCCAGACCCCACGGCACCGAGGGCTGGCTTCCCTCTCCCTACACATGGGCAGAAAGGAACCAGGGGGAGACCCTAAAGCAAGCCCCATCAGGCAGAGCACGGTGCTGAGCCTGGGGGCTCCCCAGTCCTGCTGGCTTAGGGACCCTACGAGGCTCCCTGTAGCTCCGTGCCCCTTCCCTTCGCTCCTGGAGGTTGCCAGGATGGGGGCAGAGCCTGCCCCAGGACACTGGAGCGATGGGAAGCTGCCTTCGTTAGGGGTTGGGTTGCTAACGAAGGGCACGGAGGCGGTGCCCCTGTCCCGGCCTGACCCCAGCTCCTGCAGGGGCCACACAAAGTGTGGGGAGAGGGGTGGGAGCGGGGCAGGGGCTGGAGCCAGGTGCAGGGCCCCCGGTGCGTCGGGGGGACGCGAGCACGGGGCACGGTGCTCGGCCTGCCCAAGTATCTGCTTTCAGCTGCTCCGAGACGGAGCCTGGAATAGGTGTGCTGCAACCCGATCCGCTGCGGCAGTTGCTCCGAGGCTGTAAATGAGCACCAAAGAGGCTGTAAATGAGCACCAAGAAGGATTCAAGATGCAAATCCCCTTCCGGCACTGCCCGCCTGGCTGGCACCCAGCCCGCGGGGCGGCCGCGCAAAGGAGGGCCCTTACGGCGATGGCTCTGCCACCCAAAATGTGGCTCTGCCACCCAAAATTCAGGGGCCCCAGTACCATGGGGGGGTGAGGTGAGGGACCCATCAAGGCAAAGGGCAGAAAAGCCGGGGATGTGCGGGGAAGGCCGAGGTGGAGAAGAGATCTGTGGTGGGCTGAGGGACCAAGGGGGTGGTTTTGCCCCAGCCAGCTGCTGGGCCTGGATCTGCAGGGCTCCACAGATGCGAATCCTTGGGGGACATACAGCGATGGCCCAAAGCCAGCCTGGGGAAAGGTTTTCAGGCCTGTTACTGGGGCAGGGCGGTGGGAAGGAGATCCCAGGCATCTCTGCAGGACACCGAAGCCCAGGGCAGATTTTGCTGAGGCTGCCTGGCTGCAATCGCAGCCGTGCCAGAGCTGCTCACCCCCGCTCACACCTCTGCTCCCTCATTTTTAAAGGCCTTTTCTCTCTCTCTCTTTGGCTGCCCACGCTTCAGTGACCCATCAGCAAAGAAAACATCCTGACAAGGGATCAATAAGTAATTGCGAAGGCAGCTGTGGACGTCTGGGGGTGCAAAGCCCTGAGCTAGCAGGAGATAAATGCGGACGGGAAGGGTGCAGAGCTCCAGGGAGCACGGGCTGCGAGCCAGCCACGCTCCCCTGCTTGTGGGTCGCTGGTTAAAGGCTTCCCATGGCAGGCAGGTGCCGGAGCGCTGCGTTTGCTGGGGGAGCATCTCCTGAGGGCCAGCCTCGGGTCTCCTGCTCTGCGTGCTTCAGCCTGGGTCGGCAGGAGGATGGTGCGTGGCTGCGGCCAGCTGGGAAGGACGTGCAGCAGCTGGCTGAATGGGGCTTCTCCTTTTCTTTTTGCTTTATTTCAGCAAATCTCCTCGCTGAGAGGCCGCTCTCTGCAGATATCAGGTCACCAGGGTGTTTTGGGGCTCAGCTGAAGGCAGCCAGCTCAGTGAGTACCGGAGTGACGAGGGAGCACGGGGCAGGGGGGATCCAGCGCAGCACAAGCGTCTCTGTGGGTGTTCTTTCATCCCTGCACGTGGCCGTGAAAGAAGGATGGAAAGAAGGCAGCGTTTTCCTAGGATTATGGAAACTGGAGAGGTGAAGGAAAGGTCAACAAGAGAGCATCTTCTGGGAGCGGTGCCAGGGTCACGGTGACATTGTGAAGGCATCTCCCGTGCTCCGCCTCAGCGTGCAAAGGCCCTTCTGGGGACAGCGGGGTCAGC